CCTCAAAATATCAAAATATAGGGCTACCACATGTTTCAAACAAGAATAGCTATGGAACTCTTCCAAATCAAAATAAATTTCTTCACAGTACGCGCTTTTAAGCCAAAAATGATCATAAAATGTCAAAACTGAGCCCCTAGCAGGGGTTAAAGCAAATAAAACCGCACCCTCCCACAGTTCTTGAGCAGGGGCAGGAATAAACACCAAAAACAGGCTCTCGGATAAGAGCTAAGACCAGCAAATCGAACCCCCAAACAAAGCCAAACTGAACCCTTCAAGGCCCATAAGTAAAGTTCGAGCAGCTAGGACAAAGCTTCAACAAAAACCAAAAGCCATGTCTCAACAGAACCCAACCTCCAACCCTTCCAAAGTGAGAACCGAGCTCCAGTAGAGACCAAACCCAAACTTTGAGGGCTAACAAATGAAACCATAATAGCAAATCTACACCCAACCACCTTATAATGAAACCAAGCACCAACAGAGGTCAAAACCGAGCCCCTTAAAATTAGCAGGGAGCCCCAAAGCCTCAACGAAAATCAGAAAAGACCAAACTTCAATAAAACTTTGACGTCTCATACCCCTAAGGTGAATACCAAGCCATTCAAGGGTTAAAGGATACCCACATGCATTTAAAGCATCAAGATCGGTTCGACGTGCGGACTAAAGTCGATTCACACTCAAAGGAAGGAGCTCGTGGTGTGCGGGATAACGGGGGACCAAACCAAACTCTGTAAGCAGGTTAGTAATCTGATTTTTTTATATGTTTTAATTAAATTTAATTAATAAAAAATGTTATACTAACATTTCAAGGTTTATTAATTTAAAAACAGATATTGGAAGTAGAAGATTTTGTGGGAAAAACATTTATACTTATATGATCTAGATATAGGGAGTTAGTGAGACAGACAAACAGAGTTAAGAACTCAATGTATAGAATTTCAACTTGGTTGAGTGAGAAGAGGTCCTTTAAAACTAAGGTGAGTAATTATATAAATGTATTACATTGATGTTATATTTAATAGACTTTCAGTAATGCTTGTGATACCTACTCTTATACTTACAAGGGCCATTAAATGAATGAAAATGGAAAAAAAGGATTCTTCAATGTATTTAAAAAGTAAGTAATTTAAAGGAAATGAAATTTAAAGGTTCAATTAATTCAAGTTTACTCCTAAATGGTACTGACATGAGATACAATGCACCCGTGTACAAGAAAGAAAATGAAAATGATAAACGTTTATCTTCGAGTGTAAATTTTGAGGATACCTATGGATAAGATTGTGAGGAAACCTTCAAATATAACGATAATCCTAATATGACTTCTTAAAGAGGTTAAAAACGGGTAAATACTTTAATTAAAAAAAAATGTTAAATCAAAACTGAAAATTTATGGTTTGATTTATCAATAAATTGCATTTTCTTGGGACATTCATGTCGCACCCTCCCACAGCTCTTGAGCAGGGGCAGGAATAAACACCAAAAACAGGCTCTCGGATAAGAGCTAAGACCAGCAAATCGAACCCCCAAACAAAGCCAAACTGAACCCTTCAAGGCCCATAAGTAAAGTTCGAGCAGCTAGGACAAAACTTCAACAAAAACCAAAAGCCATGTCTCAACAAAACCCAACCTCCAACCCTTCCAAAGTGAGAACCGAGCTCCAGTAGAGACCAAACCCAAACTTTGAGGGCTAACAAATGAAACCATAATAGCAAATCTACACCCAACCACCTTATAATGAAACCAAGCACCAACAGAGGTCAAAACCGAGCCCCTTAAAATTAGCAGGGAGCCCCAAAGCCTCAACGAAAATCAGAAAAGACCAAACTTCAATAAAACTTTGACGTCTCATACCCCTAAGGTGAATACCAAGCCATTCAAGGGTTAAAGGATACCCACATGCATTTAAAGCATCAAGATCGGTTCGACGTGCGGACTAAAGTCGATTCACACTCAAAGGAAGGAGCTCGTGGTGTGCGGGATAAGGGGGGACCAAACCAAACTCTGTAAGCAGGTTAGTAATCTGATTTTTTTATATGTTTTAATTAAATTTAATTAATAAAAAATGTTATACTAACATTTCAAGGTTTATTAATTTAAAAACAGATATTGGAAGTAGAAGATTTTGTGGGAAAAACATTTATACTTATATGATCTAGATATAGGGAGTTAGTGAGACAGACAAACAGAGTTAAGAACTCAATGTATAGAATTTCAACTTGGTTGAGTGAGAAGAGGTCCTTTAAAACTAAGGTGAGTAATTATATATATGTATTACATTGATGTTATATTTAATAGACTTTCAGTAATGCTTGTGATACCTACTCTTATACTTACAAGGGCCATTAAATGAATGAAAATGGAAAAAAAGGATTCTTCAATGTATTTAAAAAGTAAGTAATTTAAAGGAAATGAAATTTAAAGGTTTATCTTCGATACTGCCAGGAGATACAATGCACCCGTGTACAAGAAAGAAAATGAAAATGATAAACGTTTATCTTCGAGTGTAAATTTTGAGGATACCTATGGATAAGATTGTGAGGAAACCTTCAAATATAACGATAATCCTAATATGACTTCTTAAAGAGGTTAAAAACGGGTAAATACTTTAATTAAAAAAAAATGTTAAATCAAAACTGAAAATTTATGGTTTGATTTATCAATAAATTGCATTTTCTTGGGACATTCTATAATATTTTTCATATAAATTTAATGCATAAAAAACTTGTACTTGGTCACTAAGTGATGTAATTTATTCTTGAAAATTATGGTTGCTTTTAAAAAAGCATTAGATTGATATAGCTGCAGACAAGAGATGGTTTACGAGAGTAAAAAAATTGTTGATATGTATTATGATTGTAGTTTTTTTTGTATTATTGATAGTGATATATTGTTGTATGTTGATTTTGAATGTTGTCTACAGGCTATGTTGCTATTTATGAATGTTTTGATTTCTATGTAGTGTATTTTATGATTTCTTAGTAACTCTTTTAAAAACTAAAAGTTATGAAACTCTGTGGAAAGTAAATGATGTGATGATACTGTCCGACCGCAGTTCCTGGCTTTGTTAGTGCTAAGCTCTTAGGTCAGATCATGATAATTTGACACCTGATAATTGGTCCACCTGAATATAAAGCATCTCTCCAAGATTGTGCTCTCGTAGTGGGTCCCACCACAGTGCTTGTAAGCCCCATTTTGGGTTCTCCTATGCTTGCAAGCCCCACCTTAAAGCTAGAATGATGTGCCACATCAAGATTGTTGTTGCATGATTGATGCATTAGTTGTATTGATGTGCTAACAAACAAGATCATCTGAATTTTGGACAATGGTAAGTATTATAAAATGAAAATAACATCTCTAGGATTGCCCAAAATCAGTCTATTAGGAATATTACATGATCATACTAGGAAAACTTGTTTCCTTATCTTAATCATACACTATATTTAGGGAAACTTTGACAAAACTAGAAATTAAGGATGCCACAATCACACAAAACAGGAGAATTCCTCAGATCCCAATCACTATGCAACTAAAAGCTCTCTCATCAAATAAAATTTACTGGCAGATAACCAAAAGAATAGTTTTATTGAAGTTTTTTATCATCTTTCCCAATACAAAAAACACACATCTATGACTATAAGAGATAATGTCATAATAAATAGAAAGATTTGCTTGCCAGCAGTAAAAACTAGTGTAATTTTTAAACAGAGCCGCAATGATTTCATGTGTCATAGACCATTCACATAAATTAATGTGTATGGAAAACAACTCCACATATAGTTATGCCAAGAAGCAAGCAAAAGAAAAAAAGAAAAAAAAAACATAAGCTCATATGAAAAGCATCACTCACCACAGCAACTAAGAAAGCTACCTTCAAGTTCACACATGCCTCACAGCAAGCTCTGGTAGCCAAAAAAGGGAACAACCTGCTTAAAAGGAGGAATAAAATGGTCATTTTTTATTGCAAAAAATATGCACTAAAAAGAAAAAAACTATCTGCTACTAGCCAAGTAGGTGATTTTCAGAATCGAACACGATATGATTGGAATCGTCTTTGTGTGATGTCATGGAATATTATCATTCTTGTAGTTTCTCTTACTGCAATTGGTGAAATCTCGAGTTTCAACACATCAAAAGTCAGTGTCATGGAAGATTAAAAGGGCAAATATATGCCAGTAAGCAAACAAAAAGCGAACAATGGAACTTGTAGGGTCATTGACAGCCTCCTCTGCATGCTGGTTCATTACAGCAAGGAGTCATTCTACATAATACTAAGGAAAACCTGAACAATATCAGAATACATGTTTTAAAATAATAGAAAACGGAGTGCATATGTTGTCACATCAAACACTCTCGCTTAAGCTCTGCAACAGGGCATTAAATTTAAAAAGTTTGCGTCTGTTAGCTCCTGAAGATAAAGCTCTGGAGATGTATCAATGAGACTTGAGATCTTTATCCAATAAAATATATTAATATTATGCTTAGGGTTTATATAAATCTAGGGTTCAAAACATTCCAAGCGCACAAGCTCCATAATGAATTGCCCCTTCTTAAGACAGCTCTTGGATAAGAAGAGCTTTAGCTTTCAAAGTACTTGCCATCAAATGATGGCGTTCACAAATATTTACAGCCCAGCATGGTGCTCTATACATGAGACAGGAGTGAGAGAATAAATGGCAAACTCTACCAAGATTCTAATTCCATCATTGAGGGCACTGCCAGATGGCCCACAATTTAAAAGGTTGTGTAGTCATGGCTATAAGAATATGGCTTCAAAGAAAGGATTTTTTTTTTTCTATTTTTTTTAAATAAGGGAGTTATTTGTTGTAATGCAACAATGGGGATTAGATCAAGTAACTTGTTGTGATCATTAAAACTGAGTCATTTAGCTTGATGCAACAGCTTGGCATTCGAGCTACTGACTATTGATTGTGACCATGGGGCAACTTGGCAGAAACTGTAAGTTCCATCATTTAAAGTGATCATCTAAAGATTGGAGGTGGAGTTTTCATATTTTGGCTAAGTGACCAATGCAACGATGCAATAGGACCAATCATCATTTTCTGTAAAGGATGCTCCTTGGGTTTGAAATTAATTCCCCTCGAGACAATGATGCTTAGAAGCATGTTTTGGGGCAACTAATCTTACCCCTTGGGTATGAAAATCATTGTAATTTTTATATAATCGTTCAGTGTGCAAGTATACATAGATTTCATATTACTAAGGTTGATTTCATATCATTCCTTACGATGGAAGCCAAGTTTTGCTGCTTTAGCAACTCTTTGGATGAGGCGTAGAATATCATTGGTATTGGTGGTGCATGGATCATACCATGTCAAATTCATTTAGCCCTCGATTTTTTAGCATGTTTATCTAGTCACGTAAATAAATTAGTAAATAAAATAAATGTTATCAACCCTGAGATTGATATATGTCCGCATGCGAACACTAGATGAGCTATTTTTATGTTGTGTGGCAATAATATCATTGTTGTGGCAAAATAGGTTCTGTGTAATGAAGTGCTGCTCGAAGGTAGATCCACATGGCATTGACTGCAAATCCTAGGCAAGTTGACATAGTGCTCCCAAGTTGACAGGTAGTGTAAGATCTTGTAAGGTCACTAAGATCTTGTTAGGTCACTTTGCTTCAAGTCAAATGCAGATCAATGACCTATAGAGTAGCTATTTCTAGAAATGCTCACATGACAACTATGAAGCTCTATTATCGTTTTAACACTTGTGGACAGCAACACGGTATAAAATTCAACAACAAAATATGTGTGGAAGGGCAAGATGTTTAATGGAGGTGTCCCTATGCAGGGGCTCACTAGAAAGTCATGGAAAGAAATGGTAAAGCACGGTGAAGCCAGTATGAGAGCGGAGAGTGTCGATGATAGCTTGATATCATGTGTGACCTAGCATTCTTTTGTGTTTGCTGTCAAAGATGTAGCTTGAGGAGGTTGGAAGTAGTGTCAGAGATGGAAGTGTTAACATGGATGTGGTAGACAATAATGTGGCTAAGCTAGTATTGAAGAATAGAAAAGTGGCTCACAATAGTGATGCGTGCAAAGATTAAGCATGGGAAAAAAAAATTATGCATGTCAACAGTGCACCATAAAACAAGAATGGAGTTGGAAGTAATCATGAATTTCACATGTTAGCAGTGATTTATTTACCTTACACAAAAGCCGTTTTAAAGCATAAAATGTTATGAAATTCTTAGTTAAATAAAAACATATTTTTAGATACTGCAGTGGAATTGATTGTGCCTTTTTCCATAATTTTTTGGTAGAAATATACATATAAATATGTGATAATATACATAAACCTTACACTAAAGAAAATAAATGCTTTAACAAAGATTTAAGTAGAGTATTGTACAAATTATCATGGCTCCAGCATTTAAAATAAGATGCATTGTGGAGTTTAAAATTCTCTTAATCTACATTTCTGCCAACTTAATAACATTTCAAGATTGTTTGTTGCCGTTATTTTTTTATTTTAAAAATAACTTTATTACGTAGTCATTTTTTATGCTGTCCTCTTTATCATAACTCTTGACTAGCTTACGCTTGAAGCTTATGATTGTTAAATTTACGAGACCAAGCAGTTGCTAGCAAAGATAAACTATCAAAATTCACTCTTTTAGTGTTTTTTTTTTCTAGACCAAGCAGTTGCTAGCAAAGATAAACTATCAAATTCACTCTTTTAGTGTTTTTTTTTTCTTTTTTTTTTTTCTATTAGATAGATGGTAAAAGCAACTGCAACTAGCAAATCAACTACTGGTTGAAAGCAAAAAATGCCATGTGCTTTATTAAATTTCAACTGCTCAAATTACAACTTTCAATAGACACTGTTATTATTTGGCACAACCATGGAGGGTCTATTTTATTGCAGTACGGTTCCCATACCAATTTCATCTGCCAAACGGATCAGTTAATAGGCTACAATGGTAAGGACGGAACCGAGAAGCTACATTTTTATGGAACAAAAGAAAAGTTGCAAGGCCACATGCGATGTTCCAACTAGCAACATCATATTACCCATGGACAGCCTCACCAAACAATCTCATAATAAGAACTTTGCACAAAATTATAAGCTCAAAACCAACTGTACCTGTGCCAATTCCCGCTAGCACCGGATGAAAATCCAAGTATATTTCCCACAGCCATCCAAGAGCAAAATATTGCATTTGCTAAGTTGCGTTGGTCAGGTCCTATAACAAAGCATACATCCAATACTCTAAGCAATTTTATTTAAGATCAAAGTGAACATTATCTCAAGTCATTCAATGATGTTAATTTAGTCGGGAACAAGAAAGTAATAACAGTCACCTGAAAGATCAGCCAGCAGTGCACGTGCTGGGCCCTATAATTGAAGTATATGAAAAATTACATTAAGAACAGATGAAGCTTTAGTTTCTAATTTCATAATTCAAGAAGTGTACCTGTACTGTATTATTTGCAAGATCGAGCATCCAAAATCCGAAAATGAACACAGCAGATGCACGCCATCGAGGACCTTTATATTTGCTGGTCATAAAAAAACATGGATTATGGAACAAATAGTTATAATCAATCTTTAAAAGAAAAAGAGAATTGAAAATTACTGGCAATCTTCTTGTGTATCTCCTAAAAGGTATCCAATGTCTGCAGCAAAACTAATAAAGGAAACCTGAAAAATAACAGAGCCCGCAAATATTTAGACAAAATATAGTCTATTATAAGAATAATAAGACCGAATATCTTTTGCAAATAAATAACCGTGCTCACAGCTAGAGTTATCATAATGCATCCAGCAACAATAAAAGGTCGCCTTCTTCCATATTTTGAATCACACTTATCACTCCATACACCTACACATGGTTGGACCTGTGGATAAGAACTAGATTACACATTTGCAACAAAGAGTTACTAGCATAGAGTCCTTAAGAAATAGTTTACAATTAACTGTCATAAGCATCAACAAAAACCAATAAAATGAAAAATCTGTTCCAAGCTCAAATTAAAGTATCATCATTAATACTAATAGAATAATGGAATAGGAACCAACAGCAATTAAAGGGTTGTTGGTACAAGTTAAAAAATAATACTTAGTGTAGAGAACAGGTGAACATGATGCTATTTGGCCTATATATTTACCTATTATTCAAAGGATTTATCGACTCTCCTTTCTAATAGGAAAGATGCTTGCACATTAAGTGAATATAATGTGAACCATACAAACGTAAGAAATGCATTCTCTTAGTTATTGATAAAAGAAGATAAACATTTTTTAGGATTAGTTATGAAATAATAACTTCAAAAACTGAAAGATAACATTTTATTAAACTTTGCCACGGAGCTATGAGATGGGGCATCTTAAAACGTTAAAAAGAACTAATTATAAGACTCTAAATAATAGGAGTTTTTAAGAATGCACAAGTAAATGAAAAAAGAATTCTTACTACGAAGCCGGTGATTGGTCCGCAAAGCCAAATGAAGGAAGAAAAAGCATGCTCTATTCCAAGAGTCTGCAAAACAAATATAATATTTTTACTTTCTCTCTTGATAAGCCGATATATCAAGTAAGATAATCAAAGTGAAAAATTAATGCGCTTTGCAAGAAGTAGGTGTGAAGAAATAGCATTTATCAGGAGAAAGCCATGAAATATAAAAATTATTTGTAACCAGCATACTATTGATATAAAATAGGGATTTAAGGAAAGTGACAATAAGATATGCTTATTTAAATAGATGTGCATCAATGAGGTAATTATGAGCATCAACAAGGTGTGTGAGAGAATGCTCGCTTTATTTCAATATCAAAACTAGTATGAATAATGATGGTCCTATAGCTTCTATGATATAGCTAAAAACAAGTTATGACCAAAGAATAGAGAGTTAACAATTAATCACAACATTTATCTAGCTAGTATAAGGCATGTCTAAGCAATAAAAATACACTTTCTAGGAATTTTAATATATATATAT